CACAGACGCTGTACTGGCTGTAAAAGTCGAAAACTAGCAAGTAGAGCGCAAAGCGCAAAGGTTTTAGGCCCATTGGCGCCCAATAGGCCCATGCCGACCTCCGATACCCGTGTCATCGTGACGATGCCATTGTGCTCTCTCGCCCGCCGTTTTCTGGTCTCTCTCCTCTCATCCCAGTGTATCGTCGTCCTTTGCAATTCACAATCGATCTTGACCGTCTTATGCTCGTCCGGTGATCACGATCCATTGCAATAAAGAGGGTCTTATTGCGGGCGGTTTTTCGAACTTCCTATTCTTCAGTAGGTCAACAAGCGCACAGCAATTCTATTTTTGAACTGTATTATATATGAAGTGCGGTCGCGGGAATTGCCTTTAACACATTCACTAGGACTGGTTCGCAACACTGCGGCGACTGGCTATTCGGTGCTCAAACTGATTCCACAACACTTGACTTATAAATCCCTTCTTTGTAAAAGAAGTCCGATCAGCAGTCTCAGCTTGCCCTTTTTTCGCGGTCCAGCAGTGAAGTACGTGGTTCACAAGAGGTGAGGACAGAGTGGTCACTGTCCGCCAAAGGACGTCACTCGCAACAGATGCCCACGCCACCGTGGTAGAGATATCTCCGAGTGTAGATATAAGGCCTTTCAATCTGTGTATGACCCTTCCATATCTGCGTAGGACCGTATCTGCTCTCTCGCACGAAATGTAGCAAGGTGATGAATGACATGTTGAGGTACCACTTCATGAGGCGATGTATATTCGAATACTACTGCTTGTAGCTCTTGTCCATTCCTGGAAACTCACAACACGCCAGAATGAGCACCTGAAGAAGCATTGTGGTGCTCGTTTGCTTGGCAAGTTATTCCTCCTTTATCAGTAACTAAAAAGGGAATGCTCAAGAAATTCCAGGTTCCTATGATGCTCTATCGCTTGGTTCGCAAAGAGCACGTATTCGTCAGTTTCCATGGATTGCTGCGCTCATATTCCGTAAAAGTGAGCCAATAATCCCATATCTAATGAAAATTGTAAATAACTGTCGAAGGGTCACAGGTTGAAGTCCCCTTTGCATACTCATGCACGTTTTTTGATTCGCCTTCGTAGGCTGCTTTCTCCAAATTTGGAGAAACGGTACTTTGCGCAGAGTTTCAATTGAAATGAGCAAAGGATAGGGTTTGTGGAGGGGGAAGGGGGGGGGGGAGGATGGGCAGCAGGATACAAGGCGTGAAAAGATTAGGATGTTAGGTTGTTCGAAAGTCTGCAGTTTTGAGTGTTTAACTTTAAACGATCATAACTTTCTTAACACTCATCGGATTTAATCCAAATAAGCACCATTCGAATCAGCACACTTTTGCCAATGTGACAGCAGTCGAGAAATCCCATCAAAGAAAAAAAACTGGGTGGTCGAGAATCCACGACGAAATCTACGAAGGTCTTTTTTGCCTGGTCCTAAATGATAAAGTATTTTTCAGCAAGGAAGTTCTGAAAATGTTTGAAAAAGTGATAGTCGGTTGGTGAAAGTCTAAGGAGACTATGGTGGTGTGTAGAACTTCAACCCCCAATTCGTTCAATTTATGGATAATGATTTGTGAAACATGTGGGCGGGCGTTGTCATGCAAAAGAATCGGACCCTTTCTTTTGATAAGTGTTGGCTGCAGCTGACAAAATTTTCGGTACATTTCGTATCCTCACAGTAAACGCAAGCTGAGAATGAATTTAAAATGCAGAAAATGAATGTGCAAAAAAAAGTTTACGACAAAACCATGCAGAACGCTTTCTCTGGTACAAACTTTCTATTATTTGTTCCGCCTTTAATGCGAAACTGTGGTGGGTAGTCGAGGGAGTGTGAGAGAATCATACCGTATAGGGCGCTGTCGGAGAGAAGCCACGGCCGGACACACAATTTCCGTTCTGCCTAAAGCCCTTCAAATGAGGGCTAAAGCGCCGGGAAGTTCGATTTAATCTGCCATGCAGTCTCGCCTTTGCTTGAACTCATAGGAGTTTACCTGTTCCAATGGCGGGCACTCGAGCCATGTGAAAATGAAATAAGAGGGTATCCATCACACTAAACATAAACACTTCGACCTAGGATCCTTTCGTTGTAAGGCTGCGTTCATACTTTGCGGCAGCATCCACCAACGACCACCAGCGTCTCGGGCGTCTGTCAGCACCAGCTACTAAAGAGGGTATAGATTCGAATTCCACGACTGCCAAACATCCAGCGCAGGTCTAGCCAGCTCGTCCAGCGTCAGTAGTGGAGAGTTGGAGAAGTACGAGGGAGCAGACTGCTGGATTGGGCGTCGCGAAGTTGCGGTGTGCGCAACGAATCGTACTACTTAATACCGTACAATAAGCTGCATGGTTCTGCGCTTTAGCGGTTGTACGGTGCGTTGCACACGTCGCAATTTCGCGACGCCTAATCCAGGAGCCTGCTCCCTCCTATTTTTCCATACTCTGCCAGCAGCCTGCTAACCTCCTACTTGCCCTCCTATCCACTCCTGGACGCTGACGCTTGCCACATCCATAGTTTCCTAGTCGCTAGGCGCTGATGGACGCTCGAAACGCTGGTGGTCGCTGATGGAACTGCCGCAAAGTATGAAAGCAGCCTAAGCAAGATCACAAGCATCTTGCTGTTGGTGTTGAAACAACTGTTTACTTCTTGAATATTTGCAAGCTTTACTGGAACAAATGAGCAATCTATATCTGTTAAATGCTCTATGCAGATAAAAAGGGACCCAGAGGAAACGTCGGTTGTAGCGCGGTGCAAATTTCGAAAAGACATATTCTTACGGCCGCCCACTGTCTTGTGCAGATCGTCGGGAAAGTATGCAGAGAAGCTTTTAAAAAGAACTTGTAAGTATTTTTTTCTCGTATGGCACAAACCAATTTCATGAAATACGATATCCCAGTAGGCTTCTCTCACCAAATCTGTTGCTGAAATTGGGAGCTTATTCTACGACGCAATAAGACTTCCCCCTAAAAAATAGTGCATGAATCTTGCTGCCTCCTTACCCATTTTAGGCGTGTTTCCTTTTTTTGTTTCCTTCTTTCTTTCTTTTGTATTCTTCACCATCTTGTCCTTTTTTTGAACCGCACAACTCACCATTTAGGGCGGGGCTTTTGGAAAGTACTAATGTTCGGAGAAAAGGTACTCCGGCACGGCCTTCAACGATAATCTGCTCCAACTCGATCCGCGCAACGCAAATGAAACGAGTGCCCCAGAACTCGTTCAAGAATTCATTCTTTTTCTGACTCGATCTTGATTAGTTTTTGCTAATCTTTCTCTTTTGTAAAATGTGCGATCCGCAAGATCGGAATTGCCTCCTCCCTCAGTTCTTTTGTCCTGCCTTTTCACCATAGAAGAATCATTACCATCTAAGATCTCATATCTTGGTCCCAAATCCCGCTGACTGTAATAAAAAAGTGTGTTTTCCAGAAAAATTTCACCTTCCTGCCATTCAGTAAAACACGGTGTATCTAGAACTGTCTTTAGTTTCTACGACTTTGAAGGTACGGTCCGCGATCAGGTATAGAAGATAGAGGCATGGGAGGGTAGTGTGGCCCGCGACGAACAACCTTGTACCGGTTTCGCGGCAAAAAATTGTAAGGGAGGGGCGCTATAGCGCATATAGGTTCAGTGACGCCTCCTTTTTTCCAGTGACTCCTCCAGACTCCGCCTCCAATGCCCGGCTTTCAGTGAAAAACGAGATTGCAGGACGAAAAAGCATGAAAATCGTCACTTGTACGATCGTAGAGTTCTTGATCGGTGAATTAGCTA